CGCGGGCCCCCAGAGGCCTGGCACTTGCCCAGAATTACAGGAGACAGAAGCTTCAGCAGCTCGTCCTCCTGCCCGGGAGCGGCTTGCGCTCCACCGAGTCGATGGGCCCGGCTGTCCCTTCGTGGGGGAGGGCGGCTTGTGACTCCCAGGAGGAAAAGCTCAGCGCCCCGCAAGGGGAGCCGTTCCTCCAGGGTGCCGCAAGGGGGCGCCCTGGGCCGCTGGATCGCCGCGTTTGCAGGTTTCTGAAATGTTGAACCCTACGAGATACAGAAGTGGGGGCGAGTTGAACACACAGCGTCAGAAAGAATTCTTTCACAGGCTTACATTGTGCTAAATTGTCTGATTTTTGGAAGCGCCGGCCACTCTCCATCATCCACAGTATGTACTGAACAGTGTTGTCAATGGCATTTCCAGTCCTCCCAAATGATAGAATTTTGATATGTAAACAGCAACTTTAATATCCTCCCAGAAACAGGGATGGGAAGAGGTCACGCAAGTGCAACCGCCAATGTCTTGCTTCCTGTCTGCCACACTTACCGCACTTCTCTAGAAATCATAATAACAGATAACATTTCTGAGAGCCCATGTGTCCTTCTTACAAGAATGCACTTATTTTCCCCTCACCAACAGCACTGTGAAGTGGGCACCACGAAGCTCATGATCAACAGTATGCACGAGGAAACTGAGGCACAGAGAACTACAGTACGTTGCCCAAGGTTACACTGCTGGCAAGTGGCACGGGATCACCCAACTGTGGAACATTCAGGACATCAGGGCAAGGCGCCCCACCTGTTGGAAGGAGGGCCTTTGGGATGCCTTAGCAAGAAAACAAGGCAGCCTGCAGCCAGCTCGCTTCTTCAAGATCTCCAGAGGGCATGAGGATGGTAAAATAAAAAACACCAACAAGAAAAAGGAACCCCTGTGAAATCTTTTTACATGGCCCGTTTCATGGCTCGTTTCGTTCATGAATTCATCCAGACCACTACAGCGGGCAGGTCCGACCAAGCTAGCATTCACACCACTGCCCTGGGTCTAGCTCCAAACAGCCATGAGACCCAGTGCGGGACAAGATAGAGCCCAACTTTTCAACCTGGGCTCAGTGTTAGGGTCTCTGCGGGAGTTAAAGATAAAACTGGTATCTGGGTCCGTCTGCCCCCGTCGATTGAAGCAGAATCTCTGGAAGTAGGACCCGCCCAGGCGCCTGTTGCTGGGGTTACCTTCACCTCTCCAGGTGATTCTGAGGTTTGATCAACATCAAGAACCAAACTCCTGGGGCGCCTGGGTGGTTCAGTGGGTTAAGCGTCTGCCTTTGGCTCAGGTCATGATCTCAGGGTCTTGGGATCATCGAGCCCCGGGTTGGACTCCCTGCTCAGCGGCAAGTCTGCTTCTCTATCTCTCTCTGCCTATTTGTGATCAATCTCTCTCTCTCTCAAGTAAATAAATAAATAAATAAATCTTTAAAAACAAACAAACAAACAAACCTATTGGGGTGCCTGGCTCAGTCGGTTGGGCATCTGACTCTTGGTTTTGGCTCAGGTCATGGTCTCAGGCTCGTGGAATCAGGTCCCATGCCGGGCTCCATGCCAGGTGGGAAGTCTGCTTAGGGCTCTTTCTCCCCCATCCCCTCTGCCCTTGCCCTCACCCCTTGTGCTCCCTTGCTCACTCTCACTCTCTCTCTCTCTCTCTCTCTCTCTCAAATAAGTAAATGAATAAATCTTGGTTTTTTTTAAGACTTTATTTATTTGACAGAGAGACAGCAAGAGAGGGAACACAACCAGGGGGAGTGGGAGAGGGAGAAGCAGGCTCTCTGCTGAGCAGGGAGCCCCACATGGGGCTTGATCCCAGGACCTTGGGATCATGATGTGAGCGAAAGGCAGATGCTTAATGACTGAGCCACCCAGGCACCCCAAATAAATAAATCTTTAAAAAAGAAAAGAAAAGAATGAAACTTCTTTTTCTATACCTGAGGAAAGACCTGGAAAGGAGCCATGATTTGCCAGAGGCAGAATGCTAAGGAAGGAGGGAGCCAAGTGTCCTGCTTTCTATCCTGGAACCCATCAAAAGCATTAGTACCACCCCAGACTGGGCCAGCTCCACAAGGAGACAAGGACTCCTGGGGTGTGGGGCACACTCAGAGTCTCTTCTCTGCTGCCCTCAGTCTGAGCTGCAGGGCTGCTCAGTGCCTCCTGCTTCTCCTCAGGACCCTGTGGCCCCCTCAGTGGTCAGAACTCCCGGCACCACAGATGCCGCTTCCCCAGTGTCCATCGGGTGGTTGGGTCACCAGATAAAACACTGGATACCCAGTTAAACTCAGATTTCAGATAAACTACAAATAGTTTTGTAGTGTGAGGATGTCCCATGCAACATGTATATGTTTATTTGCAAAATTCGGCCGTGCTACCCAATAGAGCACAGCGACTCTGGTGTCGCCCAGCCAACCGGAAAGGGAGAATGCGCCGCTTGCCCAGCTCACCCAGCCCCTGGCTGTCAGCCAGGGCTCCTCCCCCAACATCATTCAGCACAGAGAGAAATGATTCTATTTTGATTTAATAAGGAGTTAGAGTTTGGGGGAAATATAATTAAGAGAAATGTCTACTCAATTATCTTGTTCCTTTATCTCTGGCAGTGGAGGTTTGACTATTCGGACTGGCATCCACTGGGTGGAGGCCTGGAAAGCTCCTGGATATACTGGGGCAGCGATGCTCTCACAGGACAGCGGGCGTCACCCCCAGAGGGAAGCCAGCAGTCTAATGGAGCCGGCCTTGGGCCTGGGGCTGGGAGAGCACTAGCCTGGGGCTGGCCTTACAGGACCCACAGACACTCGGGGCCTTGGGCTCCCAGAGGTGGCACAGTTCCCCAGCCTTGGAGGACTGATTAAGATGATTAATCTAGGGGTGCCTGGGTGGCTCAGTCGGTTAGGCAGCTGCCTTCGGCTCGGCTCATGATCCAAGGGTCCTGGGATGAAGCCCCATATTAGGCTCCCTGCTCACAGGGGAGTCTGCTTCTCTCCCTCTGTCCCTCCCTGCTGCTCGTGCTCTCCAGCTCCCTCTCTCTCAAATGAATAAACACAATCTTTTTTTTTTTTAAAGGAATATTAAGGGGTGCCTGGGTGGCTCAGTGGGTTAAAGCCTCTGCCTTCAGCTCAGGTCATGATCTCAGGGTCCTGGGATCGAGCCCCACATCGGGCTCTCTGCTCAGCAGGGAGCCTGCTTCCCTCTCTCTCTCTCTGCCTGCCTCTCTGCCTACTTGTGATCTCTCTCTCTCTGTCAAATAAATAAAATCTTAAAAAAAAAAAAGGAATATTAATCCAAATGCTTCTGGGAATTGAACCCAATGAATCTGGGAGTCTGTTCCTTTGGCAAATCTGCTCAATTACCTTCCATCACCTTAGAATTATGGTGATTTTGATTTGAGTCTTGGGAAGCGTGTTGTTTAAAGGGGCATCCCTGGACACGAAGGAGGAGTTGCAATTCCTTGCCTGCGGCTGACATCGTGCTCCTGCCTTCCCCCAAACCTGTCCCTGCCCTTGGTTCATGGCTTCACTGTCTACCCTGCCCGCCACCCAGGAGATGTGCACCTTTGTCTGATCTCTCACTTGCCAGACCCTGAGTGAGTTCCTGGAGGACCTGCCAGACATCAGATTCGTGTCTCCCTCCCCTTCCCCAACATTTCATTCAGACCTGTCTACGCCGGAGGCAGGAGAACCAGGAAAGTGGCTGCACACTGGAGGCTGGGGATGGGAAGGGGGAAATGGATACACGGGTGCTCAGAAGTCTTCCCAGACGGGTGGGCCATGAAGATCAAAGGGGAGGGGAGACTGGAGAACACACACAGCTCCTGGGCTTTGCTGGAGGGAAATCCCCGAGGAAGCCGGGATGGGTTTGCTTTACACGTGTTCACAGCGGGATAATCGAACACAGTGCTGCAGAGCAGGCAGGTATCTCCTCACAGAGGCAGTGAAATCCTGAGCCCGAGGTGGAGATGCAGGTCACCACGCATCCGAGCCTGGGGACACACGTGAGATTCCCCGGGGAGGCCGGACAGCAGGCCCCCGGCAGATCCCGGCAGAGAAGAGATGGGCAGCTGGGAGACGGAAGGTATGGCCGGGCTGTGAGAGCATGGTGTCCTGTGATCCACAGGAGAACCATCGCAGGGGGCAGGCAGCCACAGAGGCAGTTGCTGTCAGAGAGCTGAAGGCTGATGCACCTCCAAGCCCTGCTCACCACTCCTCCCTACTCTGGGCTCAAGGAGCAACCCCCTTGTCCGCTGGACCATGCGGCAGATGGGGATGGGGGTGGGGAGAGCCAAATGGAGCCTCCTGAGGCCCCCCATTCATCCTGGTCTCCCCTGGCCATGGTGCTGGAAGTGGCCCCAAATGACACAAGTTCCCCCCCACACACACACACCAGTCAGACCTCTCTCCCTCATCCTTCTGCTCACCTCTGCTTGTCACGCCTCCTTTGTTTTTCTCTATATCAATTGAAAACAAATTTTCAAACTTTCAAATTTTCAAATTTTCAAACTTTCAATCTCTCTCAGTGAAAGAGATGGAAAGGGACATTTGGCCTTTGAGCTAGAAGTCCAAACAGGACCGGGGTGGGCGATGCCTGAGGCTCAGAACCTCGGGCGGGGTGAGTGTGGGGTGGGCGTTAGATTATCAAGAAACACCAGGGAGAATGTTCTTTTATTCTCCAGACCCCAGTACAGCTTTACAAAGCTTAAGGAAGGCCCAGGTAGGGCTCTGCCTGGGTGATAGGAACAGAAGGGGGAAGGAAGGAGGAGGAGGAAGGAGGAGGAAGGGAGGAAGAGGAAGGAGGACGGAGGCCCCCCCCACCCTTCCCCCTGCACCACCCGCAGCACCACCTCCTCCACCTGGGAAATGCAGCTCCTTCCCAGCACCTGTAGAGGCAGGGCTTCGGCTCCCTCTTGGCCCCCACCTCTGGCCTGGGCGGGCCCCCGGAGGCCACCTAGGCAGGCTCCCGGCTCCGCACGCCCTGCACCTAGCTCCCCCCTGGCCGGGCCTCAATGGCCACGGTGACCCTCACAGAGCCGCACCTCGACTTCAAGTCCCAGTGCTGGCTGCCATTGAACGTTAGTGCCGGGGGGCCTGACCCCGGCCTGGGGGACAGCTGGACATTCAGCCAGCGGCACCGATCTTCACCGTCGCAGGCGAGCACCACGGTGCCCTCAGGGTTGCTGTAGGTGCACCGGATCCCGACCGCCTTCTCCTCCGCAGCCAGGTCCCAGGGGGCCCCCAGCTCTCCGTCCTCTGACCCTGGAGCCTGGAAGCCCAGATGGTTGCCGGTGACGGGACACACCAGCTGCTCCTCCTGCAAGGCGGGCAGGAGCTGGCCCTTCAGGTAGGCGGGGCCCGAGCAGTAGGTCTGCGTGTTGAAGAACCGGTCGCTGTACTCACGCAGCCAGCCGAAGAGGTAGGCCAGGTGACAGTCACACTGCCAGGGGTTGCCACGCAGGGCCAGGTTGAACAGGTTGTAGTTCGTGTCGAAGATGCCCTCGGGGAGCGTGGTCAGGAGGTTCCGGGAGATGCTGAGCAGCTCCAGCTTGGACAGGTTCTGGAAGAGCGCTGGGTGCAAGGTCGTCAGGTTGTTGCTGCCCAGGTAGAGCCTGACCAGCCCCTGCAGGTCCCTGAAGACGCCGGCGGGGAGATGGGTGAGGGCATTGTGCGACAGCGTCAGGGAACTGAGGCTGGACAGGTTGGCAAAGGCGTCCTCGCTGACGGCCTCCAGCTGGTTGTAGGACAGAGACAGGCCAAGCAGGCCCGGGGTGGGCGCGAAGAGGCCGGCGGGCAGCCCCTGTAGCGCGTTCCCCTGCAGGTTCAGGAAGGTCAAGTTGCCCAGGGAGGAGAAGACGGACAGCGGCAGGTGGCCCATGGCGTTGTGCTGCAGCCACAGCTTCTCCAGCCGGAAGAGCCCCTCAAACACTCCTGGTGGCAGCTCCTTGATGGCATTGCTGTCAAGGAAGAGCTCCCGCAGGCAGCCCAGCTGGCTGAACACGCCGGGGGGCAGACCGGAGAGCACGTTGCTGCTCAGCCTCAGGGTCTGCAGGCTCCCCAGGGGCTCAAACAGCTCCTCAGGCAAGTGGGACAGCAGGTTCTGGGCCAGGTTGAGGGCTTTCAGCCCTCTCAGGGGCCGGAAGAGCCTCCCCGGCAGGCTCTGGAACCGGTTACCCTGTAGCTGGAGAGACTCCAGGGCGTGCATCTGCTGGAAGAGGCCCTCGGGTAGAGCCTCCAGCGTGTTGAAGTTGAGGGTGAACTGCCTCAGCGAGGTCAGGTTGGAGAAGGCGTCGGCGCTGAGGTTGGAAAAGGCGCTGGCGCTGAGGTTGGAGAAGGCGCTGCCAGTGATCTCCAGGTCCTCCAGCCCGGGCAGCCCCCCAAAGGCGTCGGGCCCAAAGTGCTGGAGCTGGGTGTTAAGGAAAACCACCTTGGTCAGGTTGGGGCTGCCACTGAAGGCCCGGGTTCCCACCGTGGTGAGCGAGGTCTCTACAAAGATGATGTCTGTGGCATGGGGTGGGATGTCCGGCGGGATGGCGGCCAGCCCTTCATCGGAGCAGAACACCTCCTGGATGAAGCAGTCACAGCCCGCAGGGCAGGGCTGGGAGGGCCTGGCCAGGAGCAGGAGGCTGGCCCAGCGCAGCCAGGCTCCGGACAGCATCTCCTGATCCCAGCAGGAAGAGAGAACAGAGGTGATGCCTTGATCAAGGGCGGCCAGCGCCAGGGTGGGCCAGCCAGGAGATGGGGGTTAACTCTATCAGGGAGGCCACCCCTTGGGACAGTATGTGTTTTCAGTGGTTGTTTTCATACAGCTTCATGGCAGCCTTGCAAGGTTCATGGGACCCGGGTTCGGACCTCCTGATGGGCTGCCACATGGCCTATCCACAGCCACCCGGCAGGTTAGTGGCAGGACAAAGACCCAGGTCTCCTGGACTTCCCATGGGCTTTCAGGTGGAGGGAAAGGGTGGAAGTGAGATTAAAGGCATGGAAGAGAGGGAAAGGAGGAGACCGTGGGTAGTATGGAATTTTTAAGGTAATGTGTAAAATCTGAGCAGGTTATTAGTGCACAGGGAATTTTTAACCCAAAACTCTTCCTGCGTCCCCAAATCTCAGCACCTTGCAGAGCCTAATGATGAGACTAACCGTGTGCTCTCGTATGTCAGCTGGGGCTGAGAGCAGCCGCAGGGAGAAAATGGGCTCTTTTATTTATTTTCCTGAAGATTTTATTTATTTATTAGAGAGATAGAGAGCATAAGCAGGCAGAGCAGCAGCAGGCAGAGGGAGAGGGAGAAGCAGACTCCCTCCTGAGCAGGGAGCCCAATGTGGCGCTCGATCCTAGGATCCTGGGATCATGACCTGAGCTGAAGGCAGGCACCCAACCGACTGAGCCACCCAGCCGCCCCGATAGGCTCTCATCTTGAATCAGTCACCTGCTCCTTGCTACCACAGCCAGATGCTCCCTTGCCACCCCACCACCTCCCTACCACCTTGGAGCCCATGGAACTTTCCAGCATCATGTGGACAGGAGGATCCCAAATGCAGGGATTCCACAGACCAGTGGATTTTGGGTTTTAAGGTTTGTTTTAAATAAGAAAAGAGGATGAAGTTTTTAGTCAGCTAAAAAAATTGTTTTAAATGCCAGCATCCAACCCCAGGTCACAGATTGGTGCCTCAGCTCCCAGGTGTGTTTTATGGCTCGTTTTTTCCTATGTGAACCATGAGCCAACATGGAAAATTGAGAAATCTCACATTAAAAAGTCCAGATTTCAGGATGATTTAGGAGTAGGGAACTCATGTTCCCACATGACAAAACCAGCTGGAGTTGGGCATAATTGTCCCATGGCTTTGTGGGGGGGGGGGGGCTGCAGGCCACTACTGCTCCCACCCGTCATTTACAGGGTCTGTCGGGGGCCAGGTTCCATGAGTTCAAATACCAGCTCCGCCACGTTCTAGCTCATTCTCACTGTGTGACCTTGGGCGTGTTACTCAACCCAGTTGTGCTTCACTTACCTGGTCTGTAAAACAGGGATAGTGCTAAACAGGTCAGGATAATTGCAAGGACTGAATGAGAAAACATAGCCAAAAGTTTTAGGTCAGTGTCTGACGTGGAATGAAAAAGTAATAAATCATGTTAATTATTGTTATAAGTTGTAAGCCACCATCATAACAGAAAGGTGATTTGAACACCAAAAAAGTAGGAAGAACAGAATATCCTTTAGATAGAATACATTTGGCTTTACCAGAAAGAGACAGACAGGCAGGAAGGGAGGAAGGAAGGAAGGAAGGAAGGAAGGAAGGAGGAGAGGCAGAGAGAGGAAGGAAGAAAAGAGAGATGGGGGAAAGGAAGAAAGGAAGACAGACAGAAAGAAAAAAACCCTTGAAAAACATAATCCTAACTTTTCTCAATTTACCAGTCCCCAGAAAGCACTCACAATCCTCTCCCTGTTGGGATGTCTTGGCCCCAAGCCCTCTTTGCTGGCCATGTCTCTGCTGCCCTCTGCTGGCTGCCTCCTCCCTCCTGCGATTCCACTTCAGGCCAAAGGGCTTCCCATGGGCAATCACGGTGCTTACCAAAGCTCCCTGTACCCTCCTCCTATTCAGACACCCAATAGCCCAGTTTTTCCAGGAATATTTCTGCCTAATCAGTAGAGAGGGACCATTTCTCCCATAGAAAGTGAGTGTCTCCCTCGAGCTCCCTCTGTCGTTTGCACAGATGCTGAGTTCACCGCAAGAAGTGGCAGGGGAGGGCTCTTACAGCAGCCACACCTGCCTGCCACTCAGGGCACGTGAGTCTGTAGCTTCTACGTGCAACCACCAGAGAATAGAGTCTCGGGCTAAAGCTGAGCTCTGTAACAGCTTGCCTGGGGGTCATAGAACCAGGGGGCACCCACTCATCTGAGGCGTATTACAGATAAAGGGAGGGCTCGGCTGTAGAAGGATGAGATGGCCATGGTCTCAGCCCCACCTGCCAGCCAGGCTGGCGCTGGGGATCCTATACAACACCCCCAAGGATCCTCAAAGAAGCCTTCCCTGACCCCAGGAATACGGTGCCTGGGAGTATGCTCCTCGACCTAGGTAGTTAGCGTAGTTCCTTGACACGATGGCTCCCTGTGGCTGTCCCTGCTGTAAGAAGATGTGTGCTTGGCATCCGGCCCAGCGCTGACCTGCATGGGCTTGGTTCAAGCCCCAGTGAGTGATCGCAAGCCAGACCATGAGAATGCACGGGATTCGTCCTCCTCCGGAGGGTAAGAGGGAGCGATGTTTGTCCTAAACACGCCATAATGCATAACAATGCATACTGTGCCAGTCACCTTCCTTGCTAACCCCTTCAGTCCTTGGTTCTCAAAGGCAGTTTCCAGAAAACTTCCACTAGAGTGGACATGAGGACCCTAGAGTGAACATACACAAGGGACCTCACCTGCTGTCTGTCCGCTCATGCCTAAGGGCAGGCACTGCTGTGACCTGGTCAGCCTAGGGAAGATAGACCTGAGGAGGATACCCACAGAAGCCCTGGTTCCTGGGTACCTGAAGCATGATTGAAAATGGGGGCATAGCCTCCAGATGGATATGTGCCTTTGGTTTTGCAAACTTCTCACCGCTGGAGGTGTCAAGGTGGGAAGAGGACCAGAACAGGGCCTCTGAAGTTTAGGAAATGGCCCCAGTCTATGCAGTTGGAGGAAGCAGGGGATGGAATGTTCCCAACTATCCCCCCTCAACCTAAGACTCATTCTCATATCACTCTAGAATGGCTAAGAGTTTGTGCTCTGGAGTCAGATAGTATGGTTACAAATCCTGTCCCTAGCCCTCATTAGCTGTGTGGCCTTGGCTGAATTGCTTAACCTCTCTGTGCTTCCATTTCTTCATCTTCACAACAGCAAGCTTCAGTACTACCTTCTTCATGGGGCTGTTCTGAAGATTGAATGAGATAAACCGTGTTGAAAGCAGCAAACCCAGAGCCTGGCCCGCAGTGAGCGTTCAGCAGTAGAGCCTTAATGACCCTGATTATTCTGAGCGTGGACCAGCCCCAACTTTGTTCTCAAGTTGTCACAGGGGTTAGCCATGGAAAACCTGATGAGATCATCCAACCGCCCCAGTTGGACCAGCAAGATGTTTCTCTGCAGCATTTTTTCCCGGCTCTTTCCTCCCAGCCAAGGGAAGCTTATCATTGTTTTGCCTTTGGTTGAGAGGAGCACAGATTCTGATGGCTGTGGCTAGGCTACCCTGGCCATGGGCCCCTTTCCCGACTTCCCTCACGAGCAGGTCACTGGGGGCTCTAGAGACAGAGAGCGTCCCTGCCTGGGCACTGTGGAGGCCAGCACCGGAAGGGACTGTGGGGAGCAGCCAGAAGATTCCAGCATCTCTCTGAGAAACCGCTTCTGCATTTCTGCAGAGACCAGCATATGCCCACAAAAAATGTTCCATGCTCTCAGCAAGCCAGGGGATTCTGGCTCTGGTGGGGGCAGGGGAGTGGTTGACTGGTTGCAAATGGACTTTTCCCCCTTCTCAAATTGCTTTTGGGTTGATACATTTCTGTGTGTGCCCCAAGCTAGTCTGTCATCCACCACAGAGTCAACCCTCACTCCTACCAGAGGGTGATGGGAGCCCAGAGCCTGGACCCCAAAATGTCAGGGGACTGCTGCTTTACTCGGGGATGGCTACATTGCGGTCTGCATCACCAACAGGGCTGGATTCTGTCCCTTGGGCCCCAGTACATCTGGGAGCAGGAAGAAGAGCTTCAGAGGTCCATCTGGAGCTCCTGATGGCCTCATCCAAGTCCCCTGGGAAGTCCAGCTGTCCGGTCTCCTTTCCTGAGCACCTCCTTCCCCTGGCCCCAGCCAGCTGGCCCTCCCCAACCTGCTACCCACTTTGTCTGAAGTGTCTGGTTTCTGCATTTGTAAATGGAAAACAATCATGATAGGAACACTACTACCTAAATGACAGCTTTGTTAGAGTTCTGGTAATTAACTGAGATAACCGGCATTGAGTTTGTGATATGGTGATATAGTTAGAAATACATATTTGGTCTTTGCCTTGACTCCTGCTACAGAACTCCAAAAACCCTGGAAATTTCCTGAGAGATAATAGAGGGGCATCTTTTGCTACACATAATAAGGCCCTCTCGATGCACACGTTCATATTAATGAAGTGACTATCCGTGGCTCTTAGTAAGCTTCAGATTATACACAAACAATTTGCAGTAGTTATCTCTGAAAAACAGAATAGTGGGTGATTTTCACTTTTTCCTTTTGCTTTATCAGAAATTCTCTACAGTTTCTAAAAAAACAGATCACATTTGTAATAAGGTTGAAAGTCATGGGACACCTGGGAGGCTGAGTGGGTTAAGCCTCTGCCTTTGGCTCAGGTCATGGTCTCAGGGTCCTGGGATCAAGCCCCGCATCGGGCTCTCTGCTCAACAGGGAGCCTGCTTCCTCCTCTCTCTCTGCCTGCCTCTCTGCCTGCTTGTGATCTCTATCTGTCAAATAAATAAATAAAAGTCTTAAAAAAAAAAGAATGAAAGTCATAAACGTTTGGATTATCATGTAAGACACATGGCCCCTGAACACATACTGTGGGCTTCCTGGACTGCTCCCCTCTCTAGAACCCATATCAGGAAGGCTCCGGGCGGCCCTGGTGGGAGAGAGCCCGCGTAGTGAAATGAGA